ATGAAAGCATGATTTAATTCTGCTCTTCTACACTCTACTCCCTGGGCAGCGATTTCTTCTTCTGCTGAGGTTGAGCCTTAGCAAGGGAAAGCATCACCATTGCATGCAACGAGAAAGAATGCTGCCTTGTTGTTTTTTCCTTACTGCCATAACAGCTGATTAGCACGAAACCGCCGGGAGTCCGCGCTACATGCACCGCGGTTAAAACAAGCAGGTGCTGCTCGCCTATAGCGCGGTCGCCGTACGGATAAGCGGGTGCGATATTCGTGTTCTGGGATCAAGCTGTCTTTGTGGGGCGAGTCTCCAGCGAACTTCGTCATTCATGTATCGGCACTATTTACCCTTTACTGCCCCAGCCATCCGAAATCAGGCCAGTTCCTGACCGACTTTTTTCTCCGTGGGCAGAATTTGCTGAAAACTTGGCTCCAGGGGTAGTTCGACCCGCTGAACACGAATATCGCATCCGCTTGACCCGAAACCTCCTGGCGCCCGCGCCACGGGCGCCGGCGCCAAAATACTCGAAATCACCAAATTCGCTGAAAACTTGCTCCAGGGGTTAACCCGAAACCTCCTGGCGCCCGCACCACGGGCACCGGCGCCAAAATACCCCAAATCATTGGCGCCTGTGGCGCGGGCGCCAGGAAGTTTCGGGCTGAGCGAATGTGATATTCGTATTCTGGAGGTCAAACTACCCCAGGAGACAACATTTGAGCAAAATCTGCCCACGGAGAAAAAAGTCGGTCAGGAACTGGCCTGATTTCGGATGACTGGGGCAGTAAAGGGTAAATAGTGCCTTGGCGCCACCTCCAGTGGCGCGGACGCGAGGCGCGACGGGAGGTGGCGTTCGAGTCAGGATGTGACTTTCGTGCTTATGAGTGTCGCATTCGCACGTGGAGGGGTCGTTCGAGCACTTTCGTGCTTTAACGACTCCACCACGTGCGAATTTAATGGACTCAGGGTAGACAAATCTACTTTCGAAGAGAAAAGTCGCAGAAGCATTGTTTTCGAAGACTGGGGCAGTAAGGGGTGAACAGTGCCGCCAGTTCATTGGATACGCTATAATGCACAGATGAGCACCACTCGAATGAGTTTGTTTAGTAGGCATGATTACTGTAAACACGTAAATATTATGAGTGATTGTGTTGAGCTGCTAATAGTTCCACAGCAATCGAATAACATCCATCAGCGAAGTTATACTACCACCGGCCACGCGTCCGGTAATTAACATTTAATCTATACTGATGCTGCAGGTTACGAACATTATCACGGCTATACTTCAGCCGCAAGTATAATGCATGGAATACAGAATCGATAGGCATGGTCTTGCCCACCAAGGCCAAAAATTCAATTGAGCGAACCGTTGTCTTTTGCCATCGTATTAGTGATTCCAACGTCAGATCGTTGCTTACAGATCTGAAAGGGTCGTGAGTTTGCGACACTCCAGTTCATGAAAACCAAGAAGCACATGCATCATACTTCAATCGAATTTCTTCCGCCAGGCCTTTCAGGATGTCAACGATCTCATGGAAGGGTTTGCGAATGTCCGTTCGCACTACCTGAGTATCGCATCGGTTTAGTGAAAAAATAATTACGTGGGTTTAAGGTCACCAACCAACGCATGGAGCTCAGATTCAGCCTCGATTAAAGTTTCTTCCACTTCTTCTACCTCAACTGCTTCAGACAACGTCTTCGCATGTCGATCGAAAATTGACGCGACCTGGAAGATTTGGTCACGATAGTATCTGTAGTTTTGAGTAGGCTGGACCTAAGTAAACTGGCGATAGTGACTGGCTTTGTGGAAAGCGCTACGTCTCGTTCGCTGCGAATGAGGGGGCGTGTTGGGCGGAACGAGTTCGGCGTGGCGCCAAAGCCGTTTTCAGCTATTTACCGAGGCGAGCGACGACTGTATCACTTCGTTCGTATCAGTTTCCCCACTAACTGTTGCTGCTTACACGCTTCGCTGTGGATGAAGGGGCGTGTGGAGCCTCGCGCTTCATCCGCAGCGAACAAGACTATAAGTCATTCATTTTGTATTAGGTTGTCCGGAAAGTTCTCAGCGTTTTGTGCACCTATTTTTTGTACATTCACTGCTGATTAAAAACTCATTCTGCCTTGCTTCTCAGTAGCACATCCTGTAGAGAATTTCTTGCGCTATCTGATGGTATAATTGCCTTTTCATCATTGCTTGATAAACCCCCTTTTTTTTCGAAGACTTTTTCAAGCATGTGAAAAGAGCACTTCGGATGATTTTTTTCTTTCGACAGTAATTGGAGCATCCGCAATCGAAACAGCTCAACAAATTAACCAGGTGTGGAGGCCCAATAGTGCTAGAGAAAGCACTGTGCCGCAATGGCTCAACAAATTTCGTTCTGGAGATTTTAGCCTTGAAGATGTACCTCATAGCGGTCGACCTAAAGCAGTATCTGATGAGGATTTTGGGGGAATTTTGGAGGCTCACCCATCCCAAACAGTTTGAGAGATAGCAGAAGAGCTAGGGCTTGGCAAATCCACTGTTGCAGATGGTCTGGAACGCATTGGGAAGGTGAAAAAACTCGACAATTGGGTGCCCCACAATCGGAGTGACCGGCAGGAATCGGCACGTCTCGAGGTTCCTTCTGCATTGCTTTTGCGCAGCAGAACGACCTGTTTTTGGACCGAATTGTCACTGTGATGAAATATGGATCATGTATGATAACAGGAGACGTTCCGGACAGTGGTTGGATTTTGACGGACCACCGAGGTAATTTTCAAAGCCGAACCCTCACGAAAAAAAGATTCTGGTCACGGCTTGGTGGTCATCGGCTGGTGTGATCCACTATAACTTTTTATCACCAGGCCAAACCATCACAGCAGAACCCTACTTGAAGATATCGACGAATTGTACCGAAAATTTTGTCAGATGCAGCCAACACTTATCAAAAGAAAGGGTCCGATTCTTTTGCATGACAACGCCCGCCCACACGTTTCACAAATCACTATCCATAAATTGAACGAATTGGGGGTTGAAGTTCTACCTCAACCGCCATATTCTCCAGACCTTTCACCAACCGACTATCACCTTTTCAAACATTTTCAGAACTTCCTTGCTGAAAAATACTTCATCAATTAGGACCAGGCAAAAAAGACCCTCGTAGATTTCGTGGATTCTCGACCACCCAGTTTTTTCTTTGGATGGATTTCTCGACTGCTATCACATTGGCAAAAAGTGTGCTGATTCGAATGGTGCCTATTTCGATTAAATCCGATGAGTATTAAAAAAGTTACGATCGTTTAAAGTGAAACACCCAAAACGCTGAGAACTTTCCGGACAACCTAATATTTCTAACATTTTTCCTGCACAGCTTACTTACCACCATCAATTTCGATGGTCAACCTGCTACGCAATTTCTTTAACTGTTTTCACGTAAATTGCATAGTTTATCTCTGAATGCAGTACGCGGTATGTAATTTTTCCCAATCACAAGTATGCTCCCAATACTTCGAACTTCAAAGGCATATGACATTGTTTTCGGCTAATAGAACGAACCACCGCTTTTTTAGTCATTTGAAAAAAAAACTGGAGCCATCCATCAAAAAACTTTCCATAAATATGAAAAAGTCGACATGAAGGGGGTAAGACTGTCATGAATCACGGGGTGCTAACACTCCAGCTCTCTTTCAGAGGGCTGACCGACTTCAGCGAGCTAGTAGAAGTTCATTTGTCAAAACTCCATCGCACTATTACATGGATTCAATTTTATGGCATGCACAAGGACATAAAGAGAGCGATAAGAGGGACGGGTGTGATCAACGAGTAATTCAAACTCACCTTCTCTACAAAGAGGTCTTTGATTATGCTGACAAGATTTAGTAGTTTCGATACAATAAACGACATGTGGCGGACACGCCTTTCAGCTGCTTTACGATCCTCGTCCACCTGTTTGTAGTCCTCCGCATTTTTCCCTGAAATGTGATAGTAGCATATTGGTCCTCATCACAAACATTTTAATGTTTCGGCACAGCCTCTAAAATAAACTTACTGTCCGAACTGACACTGGTCAAGAGCTCCAAAACACGGAAAATTTTGAACATATTGTCCATACATCCATTGATAGCAGGAATCAAAGAACTGTGGAAAACGTAGCTGAGAGGTCGTCCGAGCTGAACAAACATTGTCTTGAAGACAAACTATACCTTCGTACCTATACGAAGACGTCCTCTCTGTGTGCAAGGTGGATGGGTCCGCAGCTGCAGTAGCGTGCCACTTTCTCTACTCTAACGGACATGAACAAGGCTGGAGGGTAATGATTGCACTCAATGGTCGTCTCCCATTCCAGCACGCTGTATTTGATACTGGCAGCTTCAACGCTCGATAGGAATTCTCGCCAGCAAAATAATAACAGCGATAGAAGAAAAGCCTGAAAGAGTACGAGGCGAAGGCAAGCGCCTGCGTTTGGATACACAGGGGAGGGGGCCAAAAAAGTCATTCCGGCTGAGTCACATATGAGAGCGCGTTCAGACTTCGCGATCGCGCGATCCTAGTGCTACCGTGGGTGAAATTCACATCGGGAGGGAAGGGTCATGTTTGTTCTTGTTTTTTGTTCCTGTTCACTTTTCCTTTTCACTTTTTCTTTTCCTTCTTTCTTCCTTCGTGTTCATAACGCCTTTTTATGTTAAGGAACGTTTCGAAATAACTTTGATTTGTGTTCTTTGTATTCCCACTCAATTTTTTTCAGATTCGGATATTGCAATGTGCGACGATCGCTGTAGGGGTGAGTTTTCTTCTTTCCTTTTGTGGCTATAGTTTTTTTGATGATCTATTTTCTCATTCATGTTCTTTTGCATGGTCCTTTTTTCAGTATTTCGGCAATTCCCCGTGGGGTGTGTCATTAGGTCCGCTTTGGGGCACTATGTCCCACTCTTCTTATTATGTTCGCCGCTACACCCTCTTTCATATCCTACAAGCCCCGCCCCTGGCTCCGCCTACTTCTCTTTAAAATTTCATTTCTTCCCCAAAATTTTTCTACGACATCTCCGGCCCACCCCGAGCATTCTGGCAGGGTGTGTCATTAGGTCCGCGCGGGGCACTACGTCTCTTCATGGGGCATTACGTCTCTCTGTGTCCGCCCCCACGCCCCCTTTCACCACGCCCCTCAGGGAACACGGTGGGACGTAATGCCCCATGAAGAGACGTAGTGCCCCGCGCGGACCTAATGACACACCCCACGGGGAATTGCCGAAATAGTGAAAAAAGGGCCATGCAAAAGAACATGAATGAGAAAATAGATCATCAAAAAAACTATAGCCACAAAAGGAAAGAAGAAAACTCACCCCTACAGCGATCGTCGCACATTGCAATATCCGAATCTGAAAAAAATTGAGTGGGAATACAAAGAAACACAAATCAATACTATTTCGAAACGTTCCTTAACATAAAAAGGCGTTATGAACACGAAGAAAGAAAGAAGGAAAAGAAAAAGTGAAAAGGAAAAGTGAACAGGAACAAAAAAAACAAGAACAAACATGACCCTTCCCTCAATTTCACCCACGGTAGCACTAGGATCGCGCGATCCTAGGGATCGCGCGATCGCGAAGCTCTGCTGAACGCGCATATGAGCGAAGTTTTCGCAGCCCAGACAGAGGAAGTGGATATGAGTACCAGGGCGGAAGATACCCAAGATCTTCCTCTATAAGCAGGAGCCGGCTGCCGCCATTCACCTTCATGTACACCAAAATATGAAGTCATCTCCAGTCGCGGCCTGAGTGGAGAACGCCTTTGGAATTCACGTGGCCTCCAAACAGCTGCGGAACTTCTTGAATGGAATCACCCATGGATAGCTACCTGGAGACCAGTACTCTTGATCTGCAAGACCTCAACATCGAGCAGCTCCGGCAACGTCGCTACGGTCCAGGACATCATCTTCACCCCATTCACCAAGGCGCGGGTTGATGGTGTGGACCGGCCGTACCTGGAATGGATGAACCGATATTTTCTTCGTGAGGCCCCAGACTGAGGGTGTGCGCTGGTGGCTACATCGAGCAACTCGAGGAGAATATCCCATCTTCATGTCGTCGCCCGTACCTTCTTGGAAACTTTGTACTGCTACAGGATTGGGTGACAACACATTTAATCGAAGGGCGTTGGAAAAACTTTCGCCTACTTGGAATGGAAGAACGTTGAGTACCTGGAAAAGATGGAGTATTTAAGCGGGGGTCCTGAACTAAACCCCCTCAATTACTCGGTTCGGGCGGAGCTCAACAGGGTGGTCTACAGTGGCGGAGAATCACGATTCTCGCTCAACTTCCGGTACCCACTCACTTTCGCGCGGCCGAATCTCTCGATGGCGCTCCTCCAGAAGGCTGTGGCGGAGTATCATTATAGTATTTAATGTGCTCTTTAATATGGTAGTAAAAATGTCCGATAAAAATTCAATAAAGTGTAACTTATAGCGCCTTGAAAGTCATGGAGGCAAAATGACTTTTTTTTGCCCCCCCCCCCTGTAGTTCGGCGTATGGCTGGTAGTGCGGCAGTGCGGGCGGAGTATGGAAATGACACGGGTGTCGCTACTCTCCAATCCCGTTCCCGTGAACTTTTAAGCGGAGAAAGTGGCACGCTACTGCGGCTGCGGAACACTCACCTCGCACATGGCAAGGGATAGTCCCCACGGAGGTTAGGGTACAGACCTTACGGAAGTTAGGGTACAGACCTTTAAACAGCATATCACTCGTTATGAGCAATAGTGGCAGAGCAAAAATACAAATTAACCAAGCCTTTCCGGTTTTATATCACAATCAATTCAGAAAGACGATGGAGACCAAACAGAAATCCGGAATAATACGTTTTTATGTTTGACGACTTTAATTGACAGAACTTAACCTAATTGAAGAAGGTCTTGTGAACGTTTATGCAATGCCCACAAGTAGAAGGGCACTTATTCAAGAAGTGAAAGAAAACTCACATCACACTGAACACAGTGATCAGTCTCGGACAGTGTTCCTTGAGCTAGTCGCCACTTCACAGCTCTTGCAGGAGATACTCCACCTCGTATGAGCGCTGTTCGATACAACTCTCTGATATCCAGCTGCAAATTCTCTTATGTGTAGTGGTAAACAAACACACTAATCAGCAGTGAAGAACTAGCGTAAGTTTTCTAAAGGTGGTTGTCACTAAGATACCGGCTTTCAGGCCGGCCAGCGTTCATTTGATGCGCAGACACTTCGGTGGACGTGATAGTACTGTCCGCAAGCATGGAGGATGTACTACCTTCGCAACTCAAAAAATATGTGAGAAAAGCGAAATCGCTCGCGACAAGGCCAACGTCCCGCCCACTGACCACAGCAACGCCTAACTTTAACTTTTAAAGGCTTCCGTGGTGGTGTTGTTTTGCTACTCACTCTGTGCTTTCCGTACGGTGAGAGTGATATCATAATAGGAAAGAGCTGATACCAACACTTATGGACTTGTCCGACCACACAATCTTTTCGCCTCATTCCATACTAGCTCGGCTTGTCATGAGGTTCTATAACAGACATTTCAGATAACTTTTTCTGCTTGTTTCTTCACTGCTGAGCCATTTGCACCCTGTCATTAGCATTTGATCTGCACAACTCACCATCTTTCAACGCGGGATGTGCCTCTGAGAGCACAAGAATGGTTCAAAGACACGTCTCGCGATCAGACATGGTGGTTAGTGAGTTCAAATACGAATAAGAAGTTGGTGAAAGAGCGCTGGCGCTGAAGAAAACGCAGAAAGCGCGTACTATGGCTGTATACGACTGCTGGTTGAAGACACCCTGTCGCAAGACTGCGGGTGGTAGCTTCTGTATCACACCTGCAGCCCTTCTGCGTGGGGCGTCTCGGCCAAAATGTGTCTAAGCGAACACTGACTGATGACCATCTCACCCCAGGCGCTGTTGATGTTGCGGACTACTATCGTCGCTATAGTGCCGCGGCGCGACTCGAAGTTGCTCTTGTGGGATTAACATCATGCGTGAACCTAAGAAAGAGCACGCTCCCAGATTACCTTTTGCAAAGAAGTTTAGAAATGTTCTACAACTATCACATAATGGAAAAATCAGAAGTTTCAAAGTTTCTTAAGATACCCTATCAAGACGTTTCGATCAGCTCAGTAGACTGCAGGCGACTGCTCCTAGCTACGTCTTTCTTCTGTACCTGGGTTAGAGTTGGCGTGGTATAATCCGAGAGCAAGGCACATCGTGTTGGGGAAT